GCTGCGGGTGTCGCTGCCGCCGCCACCGTCGGCCCGAACAGAAGCTGCAACTGCTGTTCGCGTGCTTCCACGACGACCGACTGGGATTTGGGCAACTTGTTGATAGTTTTGTACATGTCATCGACAACAATACCAAAGATGCTGAAACATATTTTATTGAATTGGTCGTTGAGGGGGCTGACGACGTTGGCCGCCGCAGCAGACTCGCTCGACGCGCACAGCTCAGTCCCAAATCCCCATCATGCATTCGGCGTTAGTGAGTACACACCCAGTGAGTTAGTGGCGACATACTCTCCCTTGTAGGTTTGGCATTTTACTCTCCCGGCGCCTTGGCCTCCGCATCTCTCGTTTGGGAATGCTGCGGGGGGAGGGGGAAGAAAAACGTGTCACATGGCTTGTCATTTTTCATGCAGACGCATGTCGCCTCAGTAGCCACGTTCACCTCGGAGCCCCTTTGACGAGAGCGAGTGGCCCTTCCTCTTCCAGATCACATCCATGTCGGCGCCCTGAAAGAAAAAAACATTCATATCCACGCAACTCATGGATGTATTGGCCGTGTGTTTCATGACATTTCTACCCTTCTTTCATCCAGCAACACGACCCTGCCTACACTGTCGCCCACAAAGCAGCTTCGCAACTGACAAACACCACAAAATTGCTCTGGATCCAGACAAGCCAAACAACTCGCTGACCATCTCCAACACGCCTTGCCAAAGAGCACTCGAGTGCGCACAAAGACACGGGTTCCGCTGCCGGCTCCAAACGCACCGCCCGCCACTGCCACCGTTCCCATCAGAACAACACACAGTGACGACGCTCAACCGAGGCGCACCGCAAAGCTCAATCCCCTGGCCCCTCCCGTTACGCATTTTCAGGCAGCCCGTGGACGGATGATCCTCATCGGTGCGCCGCTTGCGGAACTGCTCCTTGTTCTCACCCCCAGTCGGCTCCATCTGAGGCCTGCAACCCCAAAAATAAAAATACATTTTTGCAGGTGCCCCTTGTCAATGAAAATGCCATGCGTTTTGTTACCTCTGCACACTCTTCCAATTCATCAGGATCCTCTTCCACCTGACAACACCCACAGACTGCTTTAGTCCAGGTCGAGTCTTCATACTGCTCTGCTTCTCTGGTGTTTCCTGTCCTAAATTGCTAATTCGCACTGCCAAAAAAACAAACAAAAAAAATGCATGTGTACATGTACTTCCTCCCCAATGCTAAAGGTAGACCACTTGAAGTCACTTCACATTTTTATTCAAGTGCAAAAACATCAAAATAAATGGTTTACACGTTGCCGCCCCTCCAAAAAAAATATCTGAAAATACTTCACAGCTGCCGCTATTCATTCCCGTCGCCTCCAACAAGCTTGCAGCTGAGCATCAGGGGTGATGACTCTTCAGCGACTTCTAAAAACCCATCCGAAATTTGTGTGCCAGCTGTCATCTGCCGAGGCCTGCTGGAGAACTGAGGTCAGCGGGGTTGGCACATTGATGAGGAGCTGAAAATGATGGCCTCAGTCCAAAATCCCCATCATGCAGTCAGTGTTCGTCAGTGCACACCCAGTGAGTTCGTGATAGAGCGCCGGCGAGGACAAACATGACACTCGACATTTTTTTTTTCCCTCACTCACCCCTGTTCTGCTTCTTTAAAGTGCCTCCTCTGCCAAACGATTCCCCCTGCAAATATCGAAATGTCGAAAGAGTAAGCGTGCACAGTTTTATGTCAGCAACGTGTGTCTCCTTTGCCGGTTCGAGCCATCCAGCCTGCAAAACAAAATGTAAACAAGAGAATAGGGCCAAAAGAGGGAAAGCTAAAAAGGGGCCACATCGGACCACTGCCAATGGGAAAATCAGATCATGGACTGGGACAATGCAAACATTATTTGGAGCACAAGATAAACATCAGCGATGGATCAAAGCAGCAAGACAGATCAGGAAATGGGGCACGGACGCAAATAAAAACTTTTATTGTTCTCGTACACGTGGAATTGATTTCTCCAAAGCCCACTGTGGATGGAGCGGGCCGGGAAGATCGCAGGGTCGAGATGTCACGCCGGCTTTAATATAAAAAAAAAAGGCTGCACACACCTGACAACTCCTGAAACGTTCTTTTGTAATATTCAGGGAAGTCACATATGAGAACATGCAAACTTCATACAGGAATCGCAGAGCCAGAATGGACGCCAGCGCGCTAACCAGTCGACCACCGGGCCGATTGCAAACGCATGCCAACAAAGTACACAATAAAATTCCCGTCTGGATAGAAGAAATTTACACTTACTGTCACCTTCATAAAAGCTCCAAGAACTGACCACCAGGGCTAACTCGGGCGCGGTGGTGGTTTTGCTTTGTTGCAAATTTGCTGCACTTTGAAATGAAGGAAAAGTGTTGTCTGGCTCACTCTGTCAGAAGCGAATATACAAATATATCATGAAGAAGGTGAATTTTTCAGTATACGGACTTGTGATACATACAGAAGATGACCTTCAACCCCCCCCCCCCCAAACCCCTTTCTAGCTTGTATTAGCAGTCCTGATGGTGGGGAAAAAGTCACCTTATTCATCGAATGAGCCTCATTATCAACAAAAACAAACGAGTGATCTGGAAAACATTCGTCAGGCCGGCTCGTTGCGAGGAGATGTCCATGCGCCTTTTCGTACTTGAGCTTGTCCCGCGGGTCCCTTGCTCTTGTTGCGGTTGACTCGGTTGATGGTGGCGATGGAGTGCGCGGACGCGCTTTTCTTGCCGGACGAGTGCGAGAGGCTGGCCCGCGCCTGGCTGGCGTTGTGGTCAAACTGCATCAGGCAGAAGATGAGGTCGGAGGGCACCAGCTCGAAGGCGTAGGGCGGATTCGTAATGACGTAGCTTCGGAGGACATCGGGGACGCCGATTGAAAACAACCTCGCTTCCACTTTTGAAACATGAAGGACGGAAGACTCACCGTTTGATGCACTGACTCTGCGCGTTTAGATGGGCGTCACGGAGCCGATAGATGCCGAAGCAGAGCATGTTGTATGTTTTCAGTGCTTTGCAAAACAGGTCGCCGTAGCAACCACCATCCTACGAAACACGTTGCAAAGTGTCATTAGGTGACTAAATCTTATTTTGTGAACCACCGCACACCTTGAAGAAAAAAAAAAAAAATGGTCGACTGGCACTCAATCTGAATTTCAAAGCGCTCGCCGACGCTGAACAAGAGCATCGGCTTACGGAGCGTACGAAACGTCGCCGTCTCACCCCGAGGTCGGCGAAGGGCCCGTCGTACAAGGCCAGCTGCGCCACGCGACAGCGGTCCCTGTTGGCCAACGTCTGCGGCGTGCTGTAGCCGCCGCGCAGGGCGTTCTCCTCCGCCAGCAGCCCCTCCAGCTCCGGGGTGGCGCCGCCCGTCACCAGCGTGCGGATCAGCGTCAGGATGTTGTCGTTGAAGTACGTCTCGGGTGGGAAGGAAGGCAGCCCAAATCACATCGCGATAAAGATCACAGCATACGTTTCGCTCAATTTGTAAGGTGGCTATTTCGAGCCATCCGTCCCGCTGAACGCCACCCCACCCCCCTCCATTTTTAGGTTCAGCGAGCTGATGATGTCGTACACGGCAACCTTAGCGTATTTTTCATTTTCCCCTCATAGCCAGTGAAGGAAGTGTGGTCCCGCCGGGACAACTTACAGCACTCATTAAGGAGTCGAGCACGCTGACGGCGAAGGCGGTGCCGCAGGCGAACGGCTGGGTCAGGTACAACTCCGTGTCGGGGTCGTCGTCGTCGTCCTGGTCCAGGAACTGAACGTTGGAATCGTTAACTATGAACATTACAAAACACATGGGGTTTTTTTTTCTCTTTCTATTGGAGGGGAAAAAAACATTTAAATGTCACATTCCAGCGCTTGGAACAGCTTGACAGAATGAAACAACCTCTCGCCTTCAAGATTACAATTGCGCATTTCACTGTTCATCCAGCCACAATTGATCTTAGAATATCGATTCAAGACGCAATTCTTTCCTCGATCTCGGCCAACAGACAGAAGATCAATTTAGAGGATAATTGTCCCCTTACCATGTCAATCTTTCGGGCGCCCGATGTTCTGTGTGTTGACCGAAACCTCAGTCCGAAATCATGTCGCGGTCACCAATTGTCGGGGGCAAAGTGGCCATCTTTCCCCCGCGTGTTTGTTAATTTGGGATGGTGAGGATGTTCCTTATCCAACTACAGGCTGGAGACGATGAACAGTACCTTCGAGGATTTTATTTGCAGAACAATCCGGGTTACTCTGGCGTGTTCACAGCATGGGTGCTCAGCCTACCCAGTTCAGTTATGATGGGAATGTTGGCCCCCGTCGTCACCGAGGTCTGCCGCACGATTCCGTGGAAGGGGCTGTTCTCGGGAGACGGGCGCTCCATACCCGGCGGCGTGAAGCCTGCGATGCCCAACACAATTGATGCAGATTCTTATTCATCCAATCCACACACCGTCAAATATGCCGGACAGAATTTTTTGAATTTCAACTCCATCATTTATGGAGTTTGAAATCAAGCCATCCCAACAGTTGTCGCAATTTGTGGAGTGACTTTTTCCACCGCGCCGCCTCTCGGTCGCTACGCTAAGGCGCTCTCGACTCACGTCGACGATGAAACGCGCTCACCTTGGGAATTGGCCTGCAAGACGCCGATGCTGTCGTCAAAGAGCATGGACTTGATGTTGAGCGACGCCAAGATGCACTCTTTGTCCTGCAGCGACGCGTCGTCGATATTGTTCTGATTGGCCGACAGGATGACGCACATGTCGCAGAGATTGATGTTGACGGCCCTCAGGTCCGCTCGACTCAGCGGCGTGCCCTGATGCGCAGGGGGAGGGGAAAAAAGACGTTTGCCCAGCTCCATCTTTTCCGCCTTTGTACATCGACGTTACCGCATTTCTATTTCAATAGTTGGGGAAGATTTGCTGCGTTCATTTACATTCGTTTCCCCTAAAAAGAAGCTTGACTCAAATGTATGCATTGAATTTCATCCCTTGAAACTCAATTCAATCATTTGGTCAAACACCCCGACATGTTTAGTCATTAGTCCATCTATGGCGTTTTTATTGGCTAAGCGGCGTGTTAAGCCTTCGGGTTGTTTCAAATGCAACATGCGCAAATTTGTCAAAGAAAAACAATCATTTCAAATTGAAATACATATCATTTGGGATTTTTAATTTTGTTTTTTTTAAAGAATTGGAGCCAATACTAAACGATGATTCGCCATCGACTCAATATCGAACGTCGTCGGCGTTCAAGAAGTGTGCGGTCGGTGACTGACGGGCAAGATGGAGACTTTGGGGAAATTGTGCAGCGTCTCCCACTCGCGCTTGAGGTACTCCAGCGAGCCCACGAAGACGATGTGCTTGAGCTCGTGGTAGTGGAAGTTGCTGGCCCGCAGCGGCATCACAAAGTTGCGCAGGCCGATCACCGCCGACTTGACGTCGCCGAAGATGCACACCACCACGTGGCCGCTCAGCACCGTCATGGCCGCCTCGTTTCGAGTCTGACGAAGGGAAGGGCCGGCGCGCCCGACCAAAATTACCGCCAGGCTGCCGTTCGACACGATCGCATTTATTTTGTTTGCACTTTTGCCACGCTCACCAGGACGACCTTGTCGATGTCTTTGGACGGGCACCAGTGGAACATCCCCGTGGAGTCGTACTTCTTCACGTTGTCGTCCACGCTTTCCATCTGCTCGTTGACGGTGATGAGGAGCGGGTCGCGTCTGAGGGCGGAAGAGTGCAGATTGGTCAGACGTTCGCCGTCGTCCCGGAGTCGCGCTCGACGCAAACATTTCCCGGCCGCCGACAATGGCGACCGTCCGGTGGAAAAGGCGTCGACTGGCATGAGTGAGAGGACAATGACGGCGGCTTCTTGACGTCGAGCTTGGCACCCTAAAAGCTTTAACAGACCAGAGGTGGAACAGCAAACACACACACACACACACACACACACACACACACACACACGCACGCACGCACGCACACACACTAAAGAATTAAAGAGGGAATACGCAAGTCCCAAAATGAAATCCAAGAATAGGTGAAATTTCAAATGCTAAAAACACAAACAGGCTGAAGCTCCGTTCACATGCCACCCCACAAAGCCCCGCCTCTTAAAGGCACAGGAACGATAGGTAGTGGGTTTAAAAAAATTTTTTTTTTAATGATGTTTACCACGTCTTAAGTCTTTTTCATACGTTTCAACGTGTTTTCGGTCAGCGCGAGGGCTAACACGATCTGATTTTTGTTTCTCCATCACATTGCGCGAATCTGGATCGTCGACTGGAGCACCGAGCCGATATTTGAAACAAGTGGGGTAAAAAGAGGACAGCGGTTATCAGCCGAGGGGTTCAAACGATGTCAGCCCCGACTGTCAGGGCGCTGCGCTTCCATTTGCACTTCAAAAAAAAAAAAAAAACTGGCGACATCAAAGTGGGCGACGTTATGTTCTTGAAAGCCAAAGACAGCAGCCTTCTGTCTCCTTTTTTCAAATACGTCCAGTACCCCCCCCCCCCCATCCAGATGGGCTCTCTGGAAGAATGCGACGTTAAGTACGCCGTTAAGTATGCATGAAAATGTGCGCTGAAACAGGCCATCCCTTCGGGCTGCACTGGAGCCGAGCCATCAAGCGCCTCCTACGGGGGTATAAAATTTTTTGGAGGGGATTTAAATGTATTGTACTTTGGTATCGCATCATTTCCAATCTCTTGTGTCTTTTACACGAGGCCTAATAAACAGGAAAGCATCCCGTGCTAAATATTTCATCACGAGTCCGAGATGGGGCGGCGCGGGTTCGCTGTCACTTGGGCTCAGCCGTCGGCGCGCATGACGGATGAGGCGGCGGCGCCTGCCGGGGCGGCCGCCGCGAGCCGGCATCCGGGCAAACGCTTTGTGACACGCAAACCATTCGAAGAGTCCCGCGAAGCCTTCAAGGAGGCCGCGCGAACGCCGTCGACGGCTGGACACTGACATTCACATTCCGTTAGCCTATTAGCATAATTGTCATTTTTGAACAAAAACGAGACATTTCGTGAGAATCGACACACATTTTTTAGTCCATTAAAAATGCCTTAAGTAATCGTGCTATGAGACGACCGATTTTAACTTTTTTTTTCCCCATCACCTGCAAATGTGTTGGCCCATCTGACCATTGGAAAATAAATGCGGCCCCTGGAGCGCAAACGTTTGCACAAACACCGTTCTGCGTCGGCTCTTTGCGCGACTGCTTTGCGCACGTCACGCAAACTGTCAGAGGCGTGCTCTTCAAAATCCAAAGCCAATCTGGCCACCATGATTTATTCACCAAGGCCTGCAGGCCACACATTGACTGGAGATCCACATTTCACTGAGTACACACTCGGCCTTGTTGTTGCGGCGGAGTCGCCCCGAGGCGACATCAGGAAACGCGACTGCAGGCAGCGCAGCTTGCTCTCTCTTTTCAGCTCTAAGGCCGACTATTTTTCTCCATTTTTTTTTTCATGAATGTGTTCCAGACACCCGGAGCAGTAAGTTTTTGCGCGCAAACTAAACGCTACAACTGTATTGAACGGTGCAGGTCACGGTGCAGTTCGACACTGTAAAACCGGAGTCGATTCCCGTCAAAGTGGAGCAAACAACAGCGTTATCTGTGCTTCACAAGCATCCACGTAATTACACGGGACAAGATAAAAGCAAGGTGGCGTCGGACCGTGTCCTTCTCTGGCTGCGGCGACGTGCGCCTCGGAGCGATCCGACAAGAGAAGAATAGCCCGGGGCCACAGGTCCCGGCACTGGCTGCTGCTATCATTAGTTGCCACGCCGCTTTCAGAGCGCCACTCTTCAAAGCCACTGGCGCGTTTGCCTTCTAAAGCGGGCCACAGCGTGTGAACGTCTCCGCAGTGGTGGGCGGTCACAGTCGGCAAAGCCATCTTCTGCTGCTCTGAGCTCAAATGAAATTCCGTTCATTTTGTTGTGTGGCTGCATGCACCGTTTCCAGCATTTTAAACGACTCTGATATCATTTTTGAATTTACAAAATCGGCAACCAGCCTTGGCATTCATTATATTTTAGTGACTTTAAATTGTTAAATATGTTGACATTGACAGCAATTTTTTTTTTGCTCCATTATTGATTTCAAATTATTACATTTGATTTTTATTTTATTGGTCTTTTTTTTTTTTTACACACGCGGTCATCGTTGAACGGCCATCCTACCTTGCGATCTTTGGCGAGGAGTTGGGGGAGTTCCTCATGCCTCCGTTGCGCTGCTTTTTTTTCGACGACAGTATCGACTGTTGGTCATCTTCGACTGCAACGACAGCGAACATCAAGAAGCACAAAGTCACATCGCAGCCCCACGGCATGAAGACTGCCAACAGCAACAGGATAACCCAACGCGTTTTATTTTTTTGGCGCTTTGTCAGTTTTTTTTTATTTTTTTTTTTTAATACGGTGAGTCGGTCCAAAACTGAGCGAAATTGTCTTCTTAATATAGCGATTTGAGTGCCGAGCCTGGTCACGGGCCAAATTCAACTTGTAAGTAAACCCCCCCCATCTTCCAATGTTGGCTGTCACAGACAGCATGTTGTGTTTTATATATGAATATACACATATCAAACACAGCGAACATGCTGGAGGGTGACACCATAATGGAAAAGGGCAAGGGAGGGAGGGTCAAGGGGCGGTTGTTCCAGCCATGCTCCGACAACAATGTCCGCTCACGTGTTGGCGGCTTGTTGAATATTTCATGCGGCGCAGCTGACATCTGCACACGCCGCCTCATTATTCGGCAATGCTGACACGCAGCGCGCACTTACCACCACTGGCGTTGTCGCTACTTGACTGCGCCTGCGGCCTTCTTCAAACACCCTGGGATGGACCGAGGCCCGCCTGGCTCAGGACCCCCCCCACCACCCCGGGGCGTACAGAGTAAGTTTTCCTGCTGGTGGCTCACAGAAAACCCTCACCCATGGGGAGCCGCTCCGCTGTCGAGATCCCTGCAGGCCTCGCCAGGTGTCCATTTAAGATGACTTTTTCGTCAGTTTCTAATTTTTTTTTAAAATTTTGTTCCAGTTTTCACTCATCTGCTCACATTTCATACCCTAAATTAAACTAACCCGGGAGGCTTGCTATTGCCAATTAACAGATTCATTGGGATTTGCATTATTTCTTATGGGGACTATTGCTTTGGGTTTCATGCAATTCAGTTAAGTCAGACTTTTTGTTTTTTTCCCCCCCATCACAAAAGACAAGTTTCCACTGTATAGTGTTATTTAATTTAAAGTTACTGTAAATACAATTGAAGTAGTCAAACTACTTGCTCTTTTGACAGAAACAAAGCATGCTTTTTTTTCTGAAAATCTTTAAATTGACATTTTGGTGGGTGTAACCCAAGCCAAAAAGAGTTGAATGTGAATAATATCGCCGTTGAATAAGTCATGATGTGACACTTATTCGCCATTAAAGCATTAATACCAGCATAATTCTTCCTGGCACAAGAATGCTAATATTTGAATAATTTAACAAAAGACTCATTCCTATTAAACACCACTTAAGCGCAACGTCGGCCATTCATATTTATAACAAACATGAATTAGTAAAAATGCTTTCAGGTGTTCCCGTCAATTGTTGTGCCACAGGAACACGGGGCGGCTGACAACGTGGATTAGCGGCAAGATTCCCAACTTCGGTCTACGAATGTGACTGGCGAGGTGGCCGTTAATGCTAGCGCGTTTGTTTGGTGGACCGTGATGTCGGAGCACCATCTGCTGCTAAGACGATGGAACAAAAAAAAAAAGAAATACTGTATGTATGACGTTGACAATTAAAATTATTTGACAAGTACGGTCATATTTTCAAAAGCGCCTGACGACACATGGTCACTTTAAAAAGCCTGACTGGACATGATCACCTTTTAAAAAAAAGCGCTCGACTATACATGGTCGTGTTTAAGAAAAAGCCTTCCTATACGTGGTCTTTAAAAGATAAAATTTTAAAAACGCTTTACTATAC